TATTACATTTGGCTCAAACATTGAAGGATAAACTGATTATATTTTGGTGGTTAAAGGTCAAAGCTCAAGGTCACTGTGACCTCACAAAGCACATTTCTGGCCAAAACTCAAGAATTCATACGCTTATTATTTAACACAAATGTTTAATAGGATATAATGATGAAGTGATGATATTTTATAATCCAAAAGGTCAAAGGTCGGCTTCACTGTGACATCATAATGCTCTGTTAAAACACTTTATACGTTTTATTAAAGTTTTCACTACATACTGTATATGAGTCTGGACAGATGTGGATGCAAAATGCAAAACTTTACTAGTTGGTGGACGCATACAATCTATAATTCTAGTCTCTATTATTTGTTTAATTGGTTTTCCATTTTTAAATTATAATATATAGTATATAGTAATAGTTTGCAATAAATGTGTGCTCTGCGTAGGAGGTCTTTTTTGAATTTTCTCTTTCAGTTGTGGGGTAGCTCTCCAACATCAAACAACTGAGAAACCACTCAGTACTGTGAATATACACGCACATACACACACATTACACAGCAGAACATACTGTATAATGTGCATCATAGTTTTATTGCGAAACAGAAAACGTCTATCACCAGATGTGAGTGCAATGTTCCCTTGCTGCACAGCTTAAAGCAGCTTTTCTTCAGCGGTAAATGCAAGTGAAATGTAGATTCATTAAACAGCTAAGCTCACCGGCATCAAACAGAAGCTGTGTTTAGCCAACGTTTTAGAAAAAATATCTTAATTCAAGGGCCACTTACTATTTTTTTCTGGAGCTTTAAACCACATCTCAATCAGAAGATGGAGAACTTCATGACAACTGAACATATTTGATTAAAACCTCTAAAATTAGGGTGCAGGAGAGATCAGAGAAGTTTCTATTGATGATTGATAGGTTTTTCTCACCACTCGTCATTGTTGGAATAAATTTATCCATTGTAGCTGTTGTGAAGACGGCCCGACTACAGCTGCCATTCTCCACAAAAAGAGCAAGATACAAACCTTTCAACCATCTGATTATATTTGGTTTAAAAGGCAAAACAGAATAAAAAATGCTCCATACAAACACCCAACTGAGTTGTAGAGAGGTAGTTTAAACCTTTTCATAAACCAAAGAAAAATTGTACCTGGTTAAAGATTTAACCTTGTTACTTTTTGGCTGTTTTCTTTCCGCACGTGCCCTCCAAGCTGACATAAATGCGTGAGAATGCAAGTTTCTGAAAGCTGCCGGCTTCCAAGATAAACTGGTCCTTTTGTAGAGAGTTTGTTTTTAATACAAGCCCTAAAAGAACTGAAATTAAAGAAATAGCAACCTATCCAAACAAGTCCCCTGCTCACCTTCTCCCCTTCATTGCTCCCAGTAAGAGTAAGCTGTTATCAAGCTGCTTTTCAATTTAGAGCAACACAATAACGGCAACTACTGCACTCAACAGACGATAGATATCCATCCTGGAGCAGCTGATCATACATGCACCAAAGAGATAACATAACCGTTGTGGAAGACGAATTGATGATGTATTCATCATTGTTGTGCATATCACACGGCAGTTCTGATTAACTGCATCGACTGTTATTGACATGATTATTTTTGTACTGTTAATGAAATGATCGCAGTGATTTCAGTCAGAATGAAAAACCGTTTGCATATAACCATAGCTAACAAGTGTTTCATGCTAAAAGGTTTTTTGTGGAGTACTCCCTTAAGGCTACTTCACCAGCTCTTGCTCTGTGGCTGTCAAGTGTTCATTGCTTGTCTTTTGTATTTTGTCCAGCCATTGGCTATTTAAATTGTACCTTTGACTACTTTCTAGTTTTGAATCTTGGGACAGCACAGGCTGAAGATGTCACAAATGAGCCGATCCGTAGAATGTAGTAACACTCAGTGAAGCAAGACGTGGATTGATAAGCTGATGTCTTTAGCCTCCTTTGTGAAATCCCTCTCAGGCCTAACTCTCACCTTCACAACAGCTTTCTTCATTTGCACGTGCTAATTATTTCCTGACTGTTAAATATGCTCTGATAACTGGAAAGCTGATCCCTCCCTGCTGCCTATTCCCATCCACACCCCACTCTGCTGATTACCTCCATCACCAAGTGATGCTGAGTTTCCAAGCATTACATTGCTGCGACAAATTCCAGTGTTGTAAAGCGTATCTTTATGTATGGGTGACTATGATTATTGGTAATATCCATCTCCTTGTCCTATGAAGAGTGAGCTGAAGGAATTTCCCCAGCACAGAAAACAGGGCACATCTGTGCCAGAGAACAACTTATCCCCTGGGAACCAACACAATATCCAGTGTGTGTGCGGGAGGGGGGTCAGAGAAGGCGTATCAGACAGCCCTCTGAGCATATTATGACACAAGTCAGAAAAGACCAACCTCTTTTCTTTTCGCCCCTCTCTTACAAACACACATATCTAAACAAGCAAAGGGATTCTGGGCTCAGCTGTTCGCCGTGGTCTCTGGCAGACTTTGTACTTGGGCTGAGGCTTCGAGCGGATTGCTTTTGAATTGAATGTGGCTCCTGTCCAATTCCCGGATCCTCTGCGCCTCAGCCCGCCACCTGCCTGATAATACTCTCCATCGCTCTCTCTCTCTCTGGGAAGAAGAGCAAACAATCTGCAGCTCTAGACAAATAGCACATCTAAAATGGTTTGATATCAGTCCCCGCACCTCCCCTCTCATCATCAGCGGCTGATGTCCCCGTACCTTTTTGTCGTCCTGATTTATAAAAGACATGGCTCAGAAAGATGCAAATACTCTGGAAAATTTAAATTGGGGCTGTAATCAAAAGACAGTTGGGATGATATTGAAGGAATTAAGTTTACTGCGTTTCAAGTAGAATGGGATAAATGGAAGATTTCATGTTTTTAATTGACTGAAACACCCACAGTGCAAACACCATTTCACTCATTAATGTAAAACCAAGTGCAAACGATGAAACTTGATGACGTTTCTCTCATTTGAGAGGCTGTAACTATCGTCATAACTTGAAAAGTTGTGTCTGCTTCATCTGAGGGTACACTGGGCTTTTGGTGAGGAGGGGTCTTAAAGAGAAAGGCGCTAAAAAAAATGTTTCAGACAGAGGGTGAAAACAGATGCTGCAGAATTAGACAGTCAGAGGAAAAATAAGTTATTTTATGAACATGAAAGCCTGTAAACTTTTTCTAATAGACCCTGGAAATGAAAATATGAACCTGAAAATGAGCACAGTATCTCCCCGTTAAGGAGAGACTGTTTGACAGTGTGCACTTTTATCCCCAGTTGAACAATCACCAGGTCTTGCCCGTCTTTGTGAAGACATACGAAGTGATCTCCTCGAACATCCCCATGTTTAGTTACTTTTACACTGTGCAAAGCTGGAAGTTGTCATGGGCAATATTCCAGCATTAAGCAGGGATGATTCAGTCCTGATCCACCCCTAGTGTATATATCCATATGTGAGCAATGCTGCTTACATTGCAGCTGCTTGTCTACCCATACAGTGGGGTTGGAAAGTCTGAGACCACTTTCCCTCACTTGAATGGGAAAGTGGTCATAGACTATGTGCAGTTAAAATTGAGTATATAAACGACTTAAAACTCCTTGCCCTTAACTCCTTCCCATTAAGATTTTGCTGTGCATGCTGACTCTTGTCGTGCCTCATTACATAGCCTTGCTCTGTGAAGATGTTTTCTTAGCCCTCATCCTCTTCCTTTAAAGGAGGGTTTCTCACACCACACTTGGCAGGGCTTCCCATGACAACTTAAAGAAATAATATGAACATGTCCTCATGCTGTACAGCTACATACATGAAAATAGTGCCAGAAAAATGGGCAGAAAACGGTGGTAAGACTGGGTGAGATGATGTGAGTTATGTTACAGAAATAACATCTCTTAAATCTGCATATTCTTCAGTCATGACGAATATCTACTTGTAACAACTACCACAGCTTCTGCATCATCTCCATCGCTGCCGATTTGTTAGATCAAGTAAAAACAAAATAGTTTGGCCATCTCTCTGCCTGGCCCTACTTTTCTCTTTCCTCCTGGACGAGTAAACTTCCCAGACAAGTCAGGACCACAAGTCACTGCCTCAAAACCCTTCAGATACACCTCATGTACACCAGATCACATCTTCTGTACACAAACACCATTATCCATAAAATTTGCCAAGAGACTTAGACCCAAGTGAGTCTTGTTACTTGGACTTATTCTGCTGTTTCAGTTCAGTTAAAGTCTCAAAATAAACTGCATCAAAAGAGATCATTGCAGCAGTTGTCAAACTCAAGTGTTGCTCAAGGCGCTTATGACCTGTTGGACAGAATCGCACATATTGACATGGTTACATCAATATCAATTTCATATCAGCCCAAAACAGGATTCGGTTGCAAGGCCAGTCGATATTTCTTCCTCTAACACATGGTCAGGCTTTCCGAAAGCAGGTGGGTGGACAAACAATGCAGGAAGGGCAATAGCAGAATGGGAACGTTTAACACGCAGTCAGAAGTGCTATGTGCTTCTCTGAAGCAAGTGCTGCTGACAAATCTGTCGAGCTGACTAGTCCGACTGTCATCCTGTCTGTCCACAGGATGCAAACTAAACTACAGAAATATAATAACTGAATCACAAAGGAGACGTGTTGATGAAGTTTCAGACTGACTGAGCTGTTGCTGTGAAAGTGATTAAAAGACCATTTTAATAGGAGGAGACCTAATGGGGGTTTTTTTTGTCCTTTGAAAACCTGTAGACAATAATAAATTAAACACGTAATACAGATTTGGAGAGTTAATAGAATTGGCCAGAATGGCAGATACTTGTTTGAGGTGTAAATGATTTAATTTTACTCAGGCACAGATTGAACACTGTTGTTTCTTTGTTTTTGTCCGTTGTGTTTTTAACTATAATGATCCCTGGTTCAGGGAATGGTTGAAAGTTAATAATAATAATATAGTGCCCCTGGAAAAAATGTGGTTTGATGTGTTTGCTTGCAAATTCTCCAGACTACCTGTCGCAAGGTGTGGATCTGAGCGGCATCGAGGTGATTGAGAACGACTTGCTGCTGATCAGCAGAGCCAGACTGGAGGTAGAGAACCAAGCCAAGAGACTGCTGGAGCAGGGCATGGAGATCCAGGTATACACACACATACACACACACACACACACACACACACACACACACACACACACACACACACACACACACACACACACACACACACAGAATACTTGAACACAGATATCTTGCCTGATTGTCCAGGGCCTGTTGAGTTAAAATTCTCAGAGTGAGCAGAGATTTATTTATCTCACCTGAATGCTGATCTGCTCCTCTTTGAATCTGCTGTTAAAGCAAAGTCAACACTTCCTCCTGTTGTATGAAGACAACAGGTAAACATGTGCAGTCTTTGTTTTTGTTTCTGTCAGTAAAACCCAGCGTCTCCTGCACAGATGTTTCACATTCAAGCTTCCAGTGCCTCAAAGTGCAAAATCCCTTATTTAGTGGTGTAGTTTATCGGCCTTCCCTGGTAATTCCAATACATAATGTTTTTTTACCAAGATGTTATTTGTTGATGCTGAACATGATGCCAGCTCCATTTTTGAGGCTTGGACATTATTTGAATACTTCTCAGGCTTTTATTTGAAAATTGCTGCTGTGCTCTATGACATTAAATATTTATAAATAAATAAATTAAAAAGAAAAGTAGAGAAAAGAAAAAAACAACCACCACAGAGCAGACAGGGTTTTATTTGCTGGGAGAGGTACTTCCTTGTCTTTCAGCACAGCTGTCTTTGTAACTGAGAAGCTGGCATGATTTCATGTTCTAGCTGCTGCAGTAATGACTTCCACTTATTGGTCAGGTCTTTAGACTCATACATGTTGCACAGGTATATCAGGGTCTTCTACTTCAAAGATTACCTGGTATATTTTCATTTAGCAGATTTTTAATGCTTTTGAACATTTACTGTTCACACACATCCCTGTTTTTTTTTTTTTATTTTTTATTCAGGCTATTAAAAAAAACAAAAAAAAACAAAGACGTAATTAAAGCAGACAAACACCTCTTCTATGCTTGTTGGCTCACTTTGAGGACAACTGAATATTAATGAGAAAGAACACCTTCATGTTAATGCACTAGCCAAGCAAATCCCACAAGCAGCTCTGTCATTCCACCTAGCTGCTATTTCTCTTCCCTGAGTGTTAACGTTGCATATTGACTCCTTTAAGGGAATAAATGGGTCACAGAAATTAAAGCACCCTGACAGTTTTAGTGCATTTAAACTCTTGTATTAATGAGAAATAATGCGTTGAGATTTTTTTCCCAGACTGTGGTGAACATCTCATGTGACATCACAGATACTGTGTGTGTATTTAATTTCGTCTTAGGTGAGTTTTTTTTAAGAAAAGGAAATCGGATTTTTACAAAAATGTCTTAAGCTCGTGGTCCTGAGTAGAAAAGCAGGAGAACAGTAGAAGCGAGATGAGCACTTTGTATGTGTGTCACACTATAAAATACATGTGAGAGAGGAGGCACATGTGAGCTCTGCTAACCTTCATCTGCCCCAGAAAGCCTTGTTCTCAGGGGGATAGTGTCCCATTAAAGAAACCGCGTTGCTGCATGCATGTGCGACAGTCTGTACAGTGTCCATGATGACATGTTACCAGTGTCCAGAGGAGCGTTTGTATTTGCGCTTCAGCAGCCATGTTCTGCCTCGCTCCTCTTCGAGCCCATGTGGAGAGGCGATGAAACGTTTATCCAGCTGGTGGTAGAGTGAATCAAGCTGTCTCTTTATGACAAAGAGCACATGTCACGACCTTATGGTTCTGAACGTCACAGGAAATCTCACATTTTTTAATTTGACCTCTCATCGAGCTTCCGAACACTTTTCGTTTCACTTTCTATCTCAGCAGGAAACAGATGAAAAGCGAAGAAAAACGTCTTCGCAAAAAGTGTTCACAGCGAGGGTTGTATCCCGAAAGCTCCTGCTGAGTGTTTTTTAAATGTCATCTTTAGATGTTTGATTTCCCTTAATGTTCAGCTTGCACTCTTAAAACATAATATTCCTTGGGCCCACCAAAACTCAAGCCAATATATTTATGTTGTCATGTAAATCCCCGTTTTTCACAGCAGTCACATAGATGTAGAGTATGGTTTCCTTCTAAATGTAATATGAGTATGTGTAACGAGTAAAACCATGAAATCTCCCAATATGGACGTTTTCAAGTAAGGTCCCAGCACTCACTCAAAAGTGTCCTTACTGTGATTTGTCAAATAAAAGCCAGGTGAACTTCCTGCTCATCATAAAATAAATACATCATTAACCAGTTCATGTAATATTCAAGAATATACATCAAGTTTCTCTTTTTAACTGAAATATTGTAACTTTACACTTTGCTATTTCACTTTCAGCGAAATCCTCTTCTGCAGGTATTTCACATTAAAAGCCTACCAGCAAAGAGAGAGATTATGCCCCTTTGAGCCAGTGTAATGTGGGACTTTTAATGTGAAACTCCTCATACTGCTGAGTTTCATTGACTGTTGATATTTCTGTTGAAATACAGTAAAGAGTAAAGTAAAGAGAAACAGTCTCAGAGCAGTAGAGTGGTGAGTGGAAATTTCTCTGTAGTTTTACTAATAGAATTTCTGCTGTGGAAATGTACGCTGTGCTGGATTTCAGGAACTCCACATCCAAAGTTTCTAACAAACATTCTCTAGAAAATCTGATTCCTCAAGCCCCGTACAAGATAACCCTGAAGATATTTTAGGAAGATGATCTTAGAGATTAGAAACCTCCCCTTCGGAGCCGCGTCATCATCGTTCCTCTGTTTGTATTGGCTTAGCAGGAGAGTGTAAACGTGTAAAATCGGTGGAATGCCCCATTAATATGAAATATAAATGGAAGCAGTTCACAAAACAGAGAGGCCTTTTACTAAAATATGAATAGTTATATGTCTAGAGTTTAACTAGGAATAAAGCTCTATCTCTAATATAAGCCTGTTTCAGTTAAAGGGCTGACCTGTCTTTGCAAACAGAGTGTACAGTGTGCACACTTTTTAGGACATTTTCTATACGTACTGTAGCTTTGACAAAGAAAGCACAAAGAACATGCTCCCTCTCTGGAGTGAAACATCCCAGAGTCCCAGAAATGGCAGCAGTATGTGAAGGGGCAAGAGGATTAAAAGAAATCAGACAAATAATCCTAATGAACCAAGAGCATTGCGGTTCTCATGAAAATTCCCCTGTAGCATTTAGCATATGGAAAATATAATCGTACATAAAAAAACAACAACATTGGCTTCATGTAAACAAACTGGGATTTAAAGGGTTAAAAGCCTGGAAGTTATGATCAGAACTGATGTTGGTTGAAAAAAATAATATATATTATATATAATTGTTATGGCAGTTTGTTTTTTTTTTTACATTTTTGTCCTCTAAGGTGCTGAGTGAGTTTTTAAAGGTATACACCTTTAGGTTAACAGGCTGGGAGTATATGCTGTGAAATGGAGGGCTTTTAATGTGAAATGTCCAGGAAATGTTAAGTCCAAGCTGGTGTTTTTTTTTTTGTTTTTTTTGTCTATGCGAGTTTAAAGGAAAGAGAGGCTAAACAGGTGTGTCTGAAGCTGTTGACAGAGAGTTAAGTAGCAGGATGCTGTGACTGCAGTCCTCTCCAAAGTCAACACACACTCACACACACATGCGGCTCCGTCCCCTGTGTACTCCACCCTCAGTAGATGTATTTTTATCCGGACTACTGCTGGAGTAGCCTTGGCTAACAACTTCTACCACTGCGTTCTGTGTGTGGACATATGGGGCTCTAGAGACACAAAGACACACACACACACACACACACACACACACACACACACACACACACACACTCACGCACACACAGCGACAGCTTCTTATATCAGCCCAGGGAGCTGTTTATTGTGAATGTTATGTAAGCAGTTGGACATGCTGCCTGGGCTGTGTGGGAGCTAGTTTCACCTCAGCGCTCTGACTGTGCCAGCAGAGACCCTGTAGCCCATCTGTTGAGTGGGAGAACAACTGACCCACGTAGAAAAACTCCTTCTTTACTCTCCTCTTACCTCCTCTCCAAGTGTCTTTTTTTTTTTTTCTAGAAATATAAAATCAGTTGAGCCCAGTAGCTGAAATCTGAAATCATCAGTCATTAGTCCTGGGAAGTGTTCAGATAATGATCTGACCTGTTGCCTCTCCAAACTCCCTGTAAATGAACAACTCTCACTTAGAAAGAATTCCAGCACACAGCTCGTCTAACTTTGGACAAGAGAGCAAATAAGCACATTTTCCACAATGTGGAACTCCATCTTTAAAAGTGCAAACTTTTAATTATTAAGTGTTTTTATTTTTTTTCTTTTCTAACTTTTCATCTGTTCCTCTTTTCTTTTCCTGGTGAGACTGGGCCATATATGAAAATCCTATCCTAATGATATCATTGAGTGAAGAAGAAGAAGAATCTTTTATTGTCCAAGTATGGTTTACAGACAGGAAATTTGACCTCTGCATTTAACCCATCTGCAGATGATGAACACACACACACACTGCAGTGAGCAGGGAGTACATACACCTGGAGCAGTGGGCAGTCACGCTGCAGCACCCGGCTGACCCTCACTGATGTGAGACACACCAGTCTCCCAAGATTTGTCAAAGTTGTGAGAGAAAGATGACCGCCCTGTAATTCCTACAGCACCAATGTTTCACTGTGTGGAAAAACAAACCCATTGTTTAGTTTATGAAATGTCAGAATATGTTATTTAAATTGCCATCACAACATCCCAGAGCCTGAGTTGACTTCACATGTTTAGTTTTGTCTGAGGTTTTCAGTTAACCACAGATAGTTTTTTCCTACAAAATTGACTCAAATCATTAAACGTAAATCAAAACCGTTCCTGTTTGCCGTGTTCTATCCATCTGCTAATCAATGAATTGACTAAACTCCGTTCACTATGTATACTGTATACTGTATACTATATACTATATACTATATACTATAAGGCTGCAACAGCTGAAGACATATTTAGTCCCTCTAATGCTGCTACATGCTCCCAGCAGTTTCATGCTACAGTGTGTGGGGCACAATAAGAAAACCTTCAACTCCTCTGTAGAAGAAGATTTTCCTCATTAAGAAAATAACACAACAAAAAGGAAAGTGTGTTTTGAGGCATATTCAGTGTAAATAAACAGGAGAGTCAGAGTCAGTGCAAAGTTCAGATGTGTGATTTTTGTATTTTACCTTTTCTTCTTCTCCTCTCTTCTCCTCTCCTCTCTTTTGTTTTTCTTGTCTTGACTTTGCCCTGCTTCATATTCACAGCTCTCTCATTAAATCAATGTAAGGTGTATTTTTATCTGCTGCTGTCCCCTCTGCACTTGTTCTGTGTGTGAAACTATCAGGCACATTAAGTTGATTTCATTCAGTAAAAAAAAAAAAAAAAAATAGCACCATGGAAGACTGCCAACTTCAATTCTCTTCCTCTCTCCTTTTGTTGGCCAGAATCCGACCCAGGTCGGCACGGCCCTGCAGGTCTTCTACAACCTGGGAAGTTTAAGAGAGACCATCGGCAGTGTGGTGGGGGGTTACCGCACGTCCATACAGGACAACATCACAAGCGCTCTTGACATCAAGGGCCTGACACAGCCGGCCAACCCCAGAGGTGAGGCCCGAGGAGGACGTGGTCATGTGTCCCCTTAATAACAAAGTTTATAAGCATACACACACACACACACACACACACACACACACACACACACACACGCACGCGTGCACACACACACACACAGGATACATTGTCCTATTTCTAAAAGATGAAAGACAATTGGATTTTATAATTTGACCTAGTTCACCAGTCGGCTTGATCCAAAATAGATTATTGTACCATGGCCACAGAGAATAGTCAGCTCTGGCTGGAGGGCGTGTGTTATTTTCATGGCTCTGATGAGGCAGCCACTTCATTGTTCTAATTATTGCACACAATATTTTCAGATAACCGGGCCTGATTAGGTTAACAGTTCTTCCACTGGCATTTTAGGATCATAACACTTAATAAAAGAAGGATATTTGCCTTGATCTTTTTAAAAAAACAAAAATCCTTCAGGAGAAGTCTGGTCATATTCTGGTCATATAAAATCCCACATGCAGACCTAAACCAAGTACTGTGTATCCAAAAGATATATCTCATTCCTTGAGCCATAGAGCTCCATTGTCTCTAAAAACTATTAAAACACATGAACGAGCCACACTGCTGCACTGGGTAACATGTTCCTTCATTATAATGAACACACACTATCTTGTTTTGACTCAATCCCACACACACCATCCTGCTGCCAAAAATAATCCACCAAATGTTAGTCCACCGCTGAAAATAGTCCCCAACAAATGCTCTATTTGCTGTTTACTAAAATCTGCAATGACCAGCTGTTTTATGAAAATACCAAACCTTTTTAAAAGTGAATTTTTTTTTTTTTTTTAAATATTTACATCATAGGAACTAGTGGGCTTTGATCTGAGTGTCAAGTCAAAGTATTGAGAGATGGACTAACACATTGTAGAAAAGCTCATCTCACTGCTCCTGCATTGTACAAAGAAGCAGAAATGCTCTTCTGTATCAGCTGTAGGTGTGAAATGATGGCAAATAATGGAATGATGATGATCATAGCACAAACAAAAAACTCAAACATTGTGAATTTCTCCCTCCAGGTGCTCCAGGCAGAGCAGTGCTGCCAACACCAGGGAACACGGCAGCTTTCCGCGCTGCTCTGTGGACCAACCTGGAGAAACTGATGGACCAGATATGTGCTGCGTGCAGACAGGTCAACAGCTCCCTGAGATTACTAACTTCCTCTACATCCAGTGTTGAATCACACACTTAAAATCAAATCAAAAAGCAAGGCCCAATAGTTAGGTGTGAAGTTTTCTTTGCTTTGATGTTCACAGGTGCAGCATCTCCAGAAGGTCCTGATGAAGAAGAGAGACCCCGTCACTCATGTGTGCTTCATTGATGAGATCAGCAAGGTGGGTGGACATCACTGCTCTGGTTTTTACTACAATAGTAATAATCGTAGCTTTAATCAGGAAAACAGTGGCAAGGATCCAGTTTAGCCATATAGTTATTAAAAACACAAAATAAAACTTTTAATATAAATTAATTTTGATGTTTCACACAATTAACATCCCTATAAAATATCCAAACATTCTGGTGGCTACGTTTTAGTAGCAGTCATCCTGCACACCTGCTGAACACAGCCGAATGAGAAGAAAATAAGATACAGGCAGAGTCTCGGCATAAACTGTACATAGTTTTTTAAGACGATCCTGAGTAGCAGACCTTTTTAAAGGAGCTATTTGTAAGTTTTGCTATTGCTACATTCCCAACATTAGCATTGGCAGCTGTTTACTTACCAGTCTTGCAGAGAGCTTCAGCCATTGTTGCAAGACAAGAGGTTATAATACGCAGCTACTTCTTTAGGGCAGAGTGGACGCCACAGTGACTCAGTATCAGATAGTGATGATGCAGTGCAACTGGGCCGGGGCTAGCTGGTTAGCATGCTAGCTTCAGTACGAGAAAGTGATAGAGATAGAAGCTGGAGACAGCTACTGGTGACTAAAGGAATGAATTCTGATGCTGATCTCCGAATTTTTCCTCACGGCTGGTAAATTAACGGCTGTTAATGCTAATGTTGGCTGTGTAGCGATAGCAAAAACTTACATATAGCTCCTTCCAATCAATGTAGAGCATATTTTGTTAAATGTTAAGCCCTAGAAAGACCGGAAGAAAGAAGGCAGCAAGAAAGAAACTGACAAAACCAGCAACAACAGCTACCAGCCCCCTGGGCCTGCTCACTTTAAAAGTAGTAGTAGTGTCAGTAGTAATCATGGCACAGTCATTAACACATCATCATGACGATCATCAGTGTCTCGCTCTCTTACCTCCACAGAAACCTAGTTGTACAAATCAGAGCGGGAGACTGTTACTATGGAAACAAAGCTCTCACCAATTACCCAGAGATGGAGGTGTGAGTTGGAGACCTAATGACATGTCTAAATGCAAGGCTCCTCAGCAGTGCAGCTGCACTGTCACTCCTCACTGTCATAGACGAGAGTGCCATGTGTCCACAGAGACATGACTGAACAGACACATAGTTATACTGTCAGTAGTTACAACAGTAAAACACATTAGAGGCATTATGGCATCTCTGTCTGTAAATTACAAAGGAGAAGGAGATAAAGAGAAGCATTCAGTGAGCTGTGATGTGGATTGTGATGAGCTGTAATTCATTATGGGGAAGATAATATTTTATGTAATATAATTGGGAGTGTAGTCAAGTGTAAACGCACAAACCCTAAAGTGGAGAAATAGCTGTTACACCATTTCCTCAGGCTTTGTTATGTAGAGTGACACAGGTTAGTGTGCTCTCACACTTTTTTTCCCAAGTTCTTATTTTCTCCATGGTTCCTTCATGTGATAGCAATTACCTCCTTACACCTCATTCTACAGTGAGAGAAAAACACACTGCTGCTTTGACAAGCAGAGAAAGCATCAGTAGTTAGATGTTATGAACAGACTTAAGGAAAATCATTCATACTTAAGGTCTTCATTTTTGATAATTGTAACTCCTTTCATTCAGCTCTCAGCAGGAGAAATATCTCCCCTGCTCCTGCAAATGCAGAGTGCTGCTGCCAGGCTATTAACACACTGCAAGAGATGAGGTTGTATTACTCCAGTCCCTGATGCCAGGCTCTGGTTCACTGTCTGTTTTACTGTTGATTTTCTGTTGGTTTCCTAGTATGATTAGGCTCCAGTCTCTGATTTGTTAAGCTCCTACAATTCTAAATGCTGCTTGAGACCTTGCCTGAGGTCCTCATTGTAGAAACCTTAAATTACATTTATTATTATTCTTGCATTAATCTTTTTTCTTCTGAGCCTACAATACATGACCTTAACTTTGTGGATATCAGAACATTCCAGCCATATGTGATAGTTGAACACATCTTTCCAAAACAAAGGTCAATTATCTGCTGCTCTACCGCCCTACACTCTTCTGGTTTCACGCTTTCCACCAGATGTTGGAACCTGCCTGCAGGGATTTGTCCAACACTGATCTCGGGTGCTAAGGCTCACAGTCAGTGGATTAGGTTGGAGTCAGGGCTCTGTGCAGGCCAGTCAACTTCTTCCACAGAAAACAGAGAAAAATATTTATGGTCTGTTTTTTGCTTTTGTCATGTTGTTTAAAACATCACAGTATGCTGTTGCATTATGATCTTCCTTCACTGGTGCTTAGGGGCTCGGACCAAACCAGGGAAAAAAAACACACCTCTTCTGTTCTGTTTCACTGACATACAGTTGGTCCATTAAGAAAGAAAACTGAATAACAGAGGTCAAAGTGAAGGTGCAGAAGGTGGAGGAAGTGAGGATGTGGAGGAGAGGTCACACAGCTGGGCAGCAGACCTCACAGCAGGCTTCTCTAATAGAGGATTAGAGGAGAATACACAGACACACATGTCCAACCCCATTAAATAATTAAAGCACTCTCCTTAGTCAGGCTCAGTATGTTGAACTGTGATTGTGCGTTGGTGTCCGTGCCTGTCTGGCAGCACTCACTGCTCTTCTTTTATTTATTACAAGTTAAACAGAACAGTTTTTCATATTCATGCTGAAAGTGCATGATGGACATCTGCGCTGACTATCTCAGTACTGATAGATAGATGATAGATAAATATGATAGATAATAATCATTGTGATGTGTGATGACCTTTGTGATGACTTCACTTAATATTGTAATCACAATTATTATTCAGGCTTATTTGACTTTTCACTTATAGTACTTTACACATTAATAATAATATAAAAATTTCAGTTGGTACACAAATAGTTTTCTAGAGTGTTCACTCCAGCTGTTAATGTTGTATAATATTCAGATAATAAATAATCATTGCTTTATTGTACTGGAGTGCAACCAACTTCCTGAGACCAAATTTCAGTCTGCTTTAAAACACAAACACAATTGTTAAAACATCTTAATTGTTAATTTCCTTATTCATGTCACTGCAGTTGATTAAATTTTTAAGATCAGGTCAGATCAAGATGAGGTCTTGTGGTCCTTTATCCTTCGGAGGACGATGTTTAGAAAGGTGTGGCCCTCAATTACAACGCTTTGCATCACCAGCTGTCACTGCCCTTACCGTTGCATTGCAACCGTGACAATACATACGATTTATTTCACAAAAACTTGATGTGTTAAGGCCCTTGGTTTTAACAGTTATACCGTTAGCTGTTCAACTGAGCTGAAACCCAATACTCACATTTAAAAGTGTAATCCTCAGGCTCTTTGTCGTGTTGTTTGCTGCTATATTATTTTCATTATCCGTGCACAATGAATCTTGGCGATAGGTTGGGCCACGAAGCATCCATGCGTTGGAGCGTTTGTTGCCCAGGAAAGGAAGGCTTCATTTATCGGCCATACTTGAAGGAGCCTTCCAAATGGGACAGCCTAGTCATGCTGCTGTGACACAATCAGTCTTCAAATACAGCCTCTGAAGGATGCAGCCCCTGAATTGGGACACAGCTAATGTAGTTTTAGTGATTTAACAGGCAATCAGACAAACAGCAATGGCTGATCAGGAAGACGTTCATTGGAGTGAGAACGTGTTTCCCATTATATCGTCAACTCATGCTACTCTAAAGAACTTCAAGTACCTGAGATAATAAGTGTGTTTCTCTTCTGTCTACTTGATGACAGGATGGTCAGCCTGACATCCTCTATACATTCTGGACCGACGTAACCAACACACTCAGTGAGGAGTTTCACAGAGCAACTGAAGGTAAGAGTTGCCCTTTTCTCTCCCTTTAGGATGCTGACAGTTTAAATATCAAAGCTGCTTCTTCAAAGCAAAAATTGATTACTCAAAGGACGAGAGTCTTTATGGTTTCTTTCAGACAGACTTTAGATGGTTGCTGCACTACCAACAGCATAAACAACTAGTAGGAGGCTTCATTTGGTGAGCCATAATCATCAGGCTGTAACAAGAGCTCAGTTAACAGCAGGAAATCAATGGGGCTGTGAGTAATAAATTGCCTGTTGTTCACGGAGCAATTGGAGAATCAGCAGCCTCATATTCAGACTGTGATAGGCTATGTTACTACCTTGGTTTGTATTAAGTCACTGCTTGCAACGTCATCAACACACAATGATAATTCTAACTTGAAATGAAAATCTAACAAGAAATCTCAAATTAGTTTCAAATGTCACACAGTGACTTGAAGAATAACTTGAGAATTGAAAATGCACAGTATTCTACAGCCATCCATATCACAAATTTTCTAACTAAAATGGCACCAGCAGAGTTTCCAAAAGCCTCGTAGTCATCAAGACCAGTGCAGACAGCTGTGTGAAGACACTGGAGAGGCTTATCCGGACCCACCTCAGACCCCTGGTAAATTCTTCTATGGACTCTACAGTTTGTTTACCAGACATGGATTGAGGTGGAGGATGCAGTCATCCACAAGCTGCACAGATCCTTGACCCATATGGAAAAAAAAAAAAATTCTCCAGTTTCAACATCATCCAACGACCAATGCTGAGGAACAAAATGGAGAGGATTGAGTCTTATATCACGGACTAGAGACTATGTCACCAACAGATCACTATATGGAAGATCTCCTGGCTGTGTATCTAACATGGTATTGAGCAGTATAAGAGTTCCACAAGGAACCATCCTGGCTCCATTTTTGTTGTCACTGTACACAGCAGAATTCTGCTACAACACAGACAGCAGTCTCATTCAGAATTTTCAGATGATACAACCTACTGTCCCTGAGGAGACTAAGGCCCTTCTTCATTCAGCATCCACTTCTGAAGTCCTGTCACTCAGTGGTGGCATCATTAGTGGCATGCAGCAGTAAAAAAAGAGGCTGAGTAAACTGATCATAAGGGCTGGACCTGTCCTAGGGTGTCCCCTGGACACCTTGGACATTGTGAGCGAGAGGAGGTCAACACCTCCCAACCCTTGCAGTACCTGTGTGCCCTGGGCAGCTCCTTCAGCAACAGGCTGCTCCACCCACGCTGCTCTAAAGAGCGAATATCTTTTTGTCCATACAACATTTAGACTCAGAAGTCAGCACTGCTCACAGTGGACACTTACACTCATGTCTGGAATATAGAGACAGCCTTAGCCCCGCTGCATTATTAGTCTTACTAGTATTACAATTATTTATACTGCTTTGTGCCAAATCTGCTCAGACTGAGCCACTCAACCCCAGAGTCTGGGTTTACATATTATTACATATTATGTAATTTTGAAGCAGTTAACTCAAACTTTTGGCAGCTATTTGTTTGTTTGTATGAGTGTTGTGTATATATATATATATATCATTCTGTATTTATACAGTTATTTATGTCCTTTATATTTTGCTCTTTTATTCTTAACTTGCTACTGTAATACCAAGACATCTCCCGTCACAGGATCAATAAAGTTTCATCTCATCTCTCACCTCATCTAAAGTCAACACTTCCTGCAGATTTTTCACATTAAAAATCTTTCAGCCTTTATTCAAAGGCTTTCAATCTAAAAAAAACCTGAAGAAAATGTTTCACTGACACCCACGTTCCCTGCTATTATTTAAGATACATTGTTTGTGCAGATTGACAAACAGATCAACTACGGACAGCTGAAAATAAGATTGGTGATTGCTTTTTCCCTGTCGATATTAAGGAGCAATGATGGGGATCACTGCTAATCAGCTCAATTGACTTTGCTCCTTAATTACATCTGCCAATCCTGCCAGGTGTGCTGTAATTTCTAATAAAACCCGTTTTTCTTCATATGCCTGCTCACCAAAACACCACACATTAATGTCCATAACATCTTTCTGCATTGCATTAAGGCTCCGATTCAGCTACCTACCATTCTAAACAGTAGTTGTGTGTGTCCACCATGTCTGTGAGCCATGCATGACCCCATCTCTTTTCCTTGCTCCACTATCTTCTGTGGGACCGGTTCACATCTATGAAGCAATAAATTAATTTGTGAATGTATGTAAATGCCTTCATTCATTTGGAAGGGAGGAGGAAGATGGTTGTGTATGAACCTAATCCTGCTCTCTGTCACTATATATACTATATACTACTACTACTACTATTTTAATGCAGTCAAATTTATGATATAGTTGCAGTGTTTCCCCAGAATTAGATTTTCTTTGTGGTGGTAGCTGACGGACGTAACTCTCTCCACTGCAGATATTTTAATTGTCAAATACTTTGTGGCACATAAATGACTGAACAATATATACAACTCCAATGCCTCACATTGTATCAAACAAATAACAACACGTCACAGAGTTGGCACACACATGCAGCACGCTCTCCCGTGCACTCTGAACAGCAGGCACATAGAGAGAGCTGGAAAAAACTTTATAGATGTTTCCTACTAAGACAGACGGTTCCATTGTCACTGTGCTTGTGTGTTTGTATTTTTTGGTTTGTTTGTTTCTGTTGTCACCAGTAGTGTGAAATTTGATTAAAAAAAATCTACCACTGACTCCCTGTGATATCAGCATGAATCTACAGTTGAGAAATACTCATTTAGAAATTGAAGAGTAAACGCTCAGGCTGCCTGTGTGGATCTAATGTTAGCTCACTGATGCTGTTGTACTGTCTTGGAGAAATGCATACAACACTTTGCTCTAATTTAATAACATGCAGTGCCAAACAGTTTTGAGACATATTGGTGGTTTTCCCACCTTTTTTAAAATGAGTGCATTTGCCTTGCGAACTGTTTGGTGAAACGCATCTACACATTCCACCATCTTGTCCTTTGTGCTGTTGCTAAGGTCCAACACGAACACAAATGTAGAGAAAGTGCATCCCAAACTTAAGTCGGTGATTGAAGCACACAAGCATCAATAAGAGAAATTGATCATTTTGAAGCTAAGTGCTTCTCAAGAATTGGAACAATTTAGAAGTGATTGTTGTTTCACCTCCCTCCCATCCCTCTCTTGTTCTCCATTGAAGCAGAGTCTCTCAACACTCAGTTGTGTAACAAAGCAGAAAATGAAATGACACCCCCCCACCCCTTTTAAAAACAGCACAAATAAATGCATAAATGAACAGTGGGTGTACAAGGGAATCTTTGTAAGAGGTGGACTCAGAGGAAAGAAAGACTTAATTATGCTAACAATAATATCTCTCTCTCTCTCTCTCTCTCTCTCTCTCTCTCTCTCTCTCTCTCTCTCCTCTCCTCTCTCTCTCTCTCTCTCTCACACATCATATGGAGGCAGTGAGTTGTCTGATTGCAGAGAAAAACAAAGTGAGAACAGGAGAGGCGCGTTTGGCTGCTTGCTAACATACTTGGCTTCAATCTCACACTTTCCTGAAGAACCTGCAGTTTCTGTCATGCTGTGTGTGTGTGTGTGTGTTTGCGTGCTAGAGGTATAGTGAAGATAAGGATGTGTGATGTGTTTCACTTCACTGCTTGTTCCCCTCATTCAAACAAAGAGGACGTACCTGACCATGATGTGTAGTGCCACACAAACAGTCCGAGATTTCTGTTTTTGATTTTCAATTTGCAAATATTTCTAAAAAAACACGTTTTCACTTTGTCATTATGGGCAGTTGAGTCTGAAATGGCTATTTTATTTATTTAAAATTAGATCTACAGCACTAGAGTGTGTAAAAAGTGACAGGGTCTGAATGCGATCTGATGCTGCTGTATATTGAAACCAGTCTTCTTCCTTTTTCTCTTTTCTCACCTTTTAAATCTCTGTTAGATGTGCTGTAAAATCATCTGAGAGGAAGTGTTCTGTCCACTTCTCACTTTTTTCCAGCCATCTCTCTCCCCTCCCAGTGTCCCCATTCTGGACTGGAAAATACTTTGTTTTTTGTTTTTTAAATTAACATAGTGTATAGTGATTTACAATGAAGCATCTTACATCAGAGGCCCAGTGAGCAGTTAGAAGCAACCTACATTTTAGTCCAGCTATACAATATCGCACCAATGCTAGTGTTGTAGTTTAACATTGGGTACGTCAGTGTTACGCACTCCTTGGCTGCTAATCAGAGATTTGGCATATTCATAAATGTTTCAACTCAGTTTTATTTGGAAATGGAAGGAGGGCACTTCTGCTGGGAGATAATTCTTACATATAAATAGAATACACAAATTTTTGCATTATTATTATTGCATTTAAAGTGTAGACATGTCATTAATGGAGCTATTTGTAAGTTTTGCTGTTGCGACGTAGCCAGTGTTAGTATTAACAGCTGTTTTCTTACCAGTCTAGAAGAAACATTGTGAGTTCAGCATCAAACTTCGTTCCTTTATTCACCAACAGCTGTCTCCAGAGGTGGAAAGCAACAGCAATGTTAACTCTTGTTTCTATCACTTCTCTTCTTCTACTGAAGTTAGCATGCTAACCAGCTAGCCCCGGCCCATCTCCTCACTTTCTGATAGCGACTTACTGTAGCCTCCACTCTGCCTTGAAGACGTAGAGCTGCTCAGAGGACATTTATAACCTAAGTCAAGTGACAATCGCCACCACCTTGTCCCAGCAAGAAACCACTTTCAGCAGCAGTGAAAAACTTACAAATAGCTCCTTTAAAGTTACACTAAAGTATTTTTTTCGTGCAGCAGAATATGCTGAGAACACAAAATGTCTGGTGTTATAAAGTTGTCATAACAATTATAGGAGCAAACAGTTTTTTATGTACACATCCAACAGACAGAGCAGCAGTAGCATTCATTTGGAGATGTGTTTCTGGCTACCTGATAAATGTGAGTCAAACATAAAGTCCTGAGAAACTATCTGGCTCTTTAGCTGCTAGATATTTGACTCTCTTCACCAGCTAGTCTCTGACTTTGTCCACTGAGTGATAATCCTCTGAGAGTCCATCACTACGAGTGACACCTTTCACAATTACATAGAAAAATAATGCAGCTCTAAAATATCTCATACTTATTTCTGTGCGGGGTCTTCCACTTTTTCCTTTGGTCATCACTCACTCTCTTCAAAACTGTCACATGTAATCAAATGTTTTTCACTGTCCTTGCCTCTGTCTGTTTTCTCTGCAGCCTCGTCCTTTCTGAAGCAGGCGTTTGAAGGAGAGTATCCTAAACTGTTGCGACTGTACAACGAGCTGTGGCGCCGGCTGCAGCAGTACAGCGCCAGCCTGCAGGGAGCTCTGACGAGCAGCGTGGGGATGGATGCGTCTCTGGACATCACGACCACAGAGACGGACAGCCAGGACCTCTTCACGCATGGCAAACAGGACTACAGGTGAGCACATTCACACACGCAAGAAGTGAATAGCTTCATACAAAGAATCAGTCCTCAATCAGAGGAACAACCACTACTATCTGATTGGTAGGCAGCATGTACCCTGTTGAGTTTAGGTGTTGGAATCAGAAAACAAACAAGTGGGATTGGCGCATCTGTGGTTTGGGTGACAGTATATGAAAAGACTGTAGGGGAGAGAGACTGAAGAACAAAGGAATGATGTAACAGGTAGACAGAGTGGGAGTGAAGACATGAGCATGTGCACTAATGACAGGAGAACGTGTGCTGATGCGTCTGAGCACACAACACAACACACATGTTAAATAACACACAGTGAGCTCCTGAACACACCCGTCAATCACCCTGCTGACTGCGGGGAACAAACACACTCCATTAAAAACATTTTAATATATCATGTCAGTCTCATCAGACACACACACACATACACACACACACACACACACACACACACACACCTACCTCTCTGGTATCATGTCTGCATTGATTAGAAATAGGATGAGACACCAGGGCATTTTGCTCCCATTTATGTCTGTGCTCCATTAATAAATGTCAGCACTGATATTTTAGCCAGTTAGAGGATATTGTATGTATTATAGATTCTTGATATAATACCACAATTGATTTGAAAGGCTGAAGTTTTAATGGCTACTTTACAGTAAAGTGATGCTGGTTTCTGATCTTGTGGCAGAGTGAAAAGAAACAGTGAGCAGTTCCCCCTGTTTCTTATCTCCCTGTTTCTGATTGGTGACTGGTTTCTCATTTCTTATTTCTTATCTGTAAATATCTTCTCAAAACATCAGTACATTCTGTCATTCTGTCGTTTGATTTTGTGTCAATCTTTGTGTGTGTGTGTGTGTGCGCGCGCGTGTGTGTGTGTGCGTGCGTGCGTGCAGCCCAGAGAAGGCTCTGAAGGACTCTCTGCAGCCGTACGAGGCGGCCTACCTCTCCAAGTCCCTCTCGCGCCTCTTTGATCCGATCAACCTCGTGTTCCCTATGGGCGGCCGCAACCCGCCCTCCAGCGACGAGCTGGACAGCATCATCAAGACCATCAGCAGGCACGTACACTGCATCCACAGTTTACATCCCTTACAGCAGGAACATAATCATTTAGCACTGCCTCTGCCACTCAGGGGTGTGTCAACATGTTCAACAGCTGTTGATTTATCCTACAAGACATTTCATTCACTCAGGCGTTAAAAAGATTATTATATTTATTATTATTTTCACACATTAAAATGTTTTTTTGTTTTTTTAAAAAAGCCACCTGGTGATAGGCAGCAGCCTCAGTGATGGTTTAGGTGGAAAAACATTCGCCAGGTCACAGGTGGGCATTAAGAAAATATAGTTTAATTTGACAAAAGACTGGTTTCCATTGAAGTCAATACAAACCTAAGGTACATGCAAAAGTCTTATTCTGTCTTCATGATGTGACAAATAAAGACACTGGTCTCTCCCTGACCTTTAAAAAACATATGAGATGAATCATTACTGATAAAGGACATTATGGATAGAAGCTACAGTTTGACTATGAACATAGTGTATAGCTTGGTCATTAGCCAGGTTATATGATTGAAATGGAAAATCTGTCTCATTTGCTTGTTTGTTTGCAGTGAGCTGAATGTAGCATCGGTAGATCCAGATCTGTCCCTGGCTGTGGCCAAGAACGCTGCCAAGACGGTCCAGCTCTTCTGCGTCAAGTCTGAACAGCTGGTGTGTATGACATTGTGTGTGTGTCTGTGTGAGAAAGTATGTTGGTGCAATCCTAAAATTCAGAATTAAAAACCATGTCTGTTTACCTGTGAGGGCACCATTTGTTCCATTCTGTAATTAGCTCATCAACTCGATAAAGTTGTAACGACGTCTTCTACTAAACCTATCCGTTGCAGTTGTTGTACCCTGTCTACATGTCATACACTACTCCCCTGTGCATCTCTTTTCAATCAATCACTCCTCTGTCTACAGTTGTCTACTCAGGGTGACGCCAGTCAGGTAATCGGTCCACTAACAGAGGGCCAGAGGAGGAACGTAGCTGTGATCAACTCCCTCTACCGTCTGCAGCAGGCTGTCACCAAGGTGGGAATAAACACAGAAATGTGACGACAGCTAGTGTGGTGACTTTCTATCATGGGGTCACCAACATTAGAAATTGATGTGATCATTTTTATATTTCCATTGTGATTTGAATGTCACGCTGACATTTTCACTTTATAAAACTCTTTAAAACATCAGGTATAAAATGAAGTCATCATAACGGTGACTTCACAAATGAAAAAATGGAACGTTCAGCCTGGAATCTTGATCACAGCTAAAGCCACTAGTCGGCACTACTATCTTTACAAAATTAACATTTCCTACAAGGTAAAAGTTTCCTACTTTAAATGACCTTATTTTCAGCATTTTGTCACTTTACAAATTCTGCTCCCTTATGCATTAAAGATGTAGTCACACTGACGATCCTTCAACATGGTGCAGTAATCACACAGGGATTTCTGGCCTGTTCAGAGAGATCAGAGTTACAGTGACTCATTACAGACTCATTGAATAGATCGCTGTGTCTTTAAGAAGAGATTTTAACTTTGTTTTAAAGTAGGCAGCCTCAGTGCTGTTAAGTTACTGTTCTGTCAATAGCTTTACTGTATCTTCATTTTTTTCACTGTATTGTAATAGGTAGATTAGTTAACTACACACACAGTTCTGTAGGCGTGTGTGTGATTACTAAGTATGACCTTTCTAATGCATAGAAATAGCACTCACCTATGTGAAAGGAGCCAAAGGAGATTAAAGGGACATAAAAGGAAAAGTAGTCAGGGTGCACAGTGTTCTCTCAGCCTCCTCCATTAAAGATGTATGGTGAGTCCTGGCACAGCAGCGCGGCTGATTAACAGCATAAAAAAACAGATTACTGCAGCATTAAATATTTAACTTAAGGCTGTACAATTTTACTGTGCGAAAACACAGTGAGAATTAATTCCAGGTAGGTGGTGGGGGTGGGTGGGTGGCGCGGGGAGGGGCGGGGCGGGGCGGGGCGAACGAAGAGACAAAGAGGGCAGACGGGAAAACAAACACCTGGGATGGGAAGACACAGGTACTTGAAGATCCTGAAGAAAGTAGTGTTTAAGTAGTTAAGGAGCTGCTGTAGTGCCTCACTTTCTCAGGTCGAACATTTAGATGGTATTTCTTGTAAGAACCTTTCTGGTTCCTTGTCCATTTAACAGGGTTGTTGGTATTCTCCATGGTTCTTTACTTGGCCCATTAACCATGCTTCTGCTCAGCTAAATTGTACTACAACACATTTTAATGTTTTATAGTCTCCAATGCCTGATGTTGTCCAATGCTGTTTGAAGTTTTACAGTTTGAATGTATGAAGCTATTTGAAATTAAATGAGGACAAAACAGAAATGATAGATATTGTTGTTGCTGATTCCAAGACAGATAACATTTTCAGTGAACAGTCTCAATCTGAGGCAAAACGTTTGGGTCATGATAGATCACCGTTTACACATGAGTAAATATTTACTGTGTCAGTAAAACCACATTTTTCCATCTGAGAAACATCTGACCATTCTTGTTCCTCCGTCTCTAGGGCACTGGTCCTTTAACTTCAGCTTGTACAAAATGCAGCCACCAGAGGTTTAACAAAAATAAGTGTAAAAGATGCCACATCAAACAATTGTAGCATCTTTGCTCTGACCTCTTGTTTTTTCTGTCTCTTTTGATTCATAAATTGTTTTACAACTTCACACAGCTCTGTGATTTAGCACCTCCATGCATATGTGACTGTGCCTCAGGCCATGGAGCTCTGCAGCATTAAATGATTCCAGCAAAACTGCCAGCACATAAAATATCACATAGAATCGGGGTAAATTAGTGTTTTTAAAGTTTTTTATAATGTTTTTTTTATACAGTTTATACATAGAGCTGCTTTTTATGTATAAAAGATCATATGCAAATAAAGTGAATTAATTCTTCATGTGTTTTGTCTTTGCAGATTATTTCAGGTTTGGGGTCTTGTCCTCCTGCTGCTGCAGACGCTCTGTCTTCTTCTTTGGAGGTTTGATCGCAAAACCTTTTTTTAATTTATATTTTCATTGTCCATATTTTAACTGTTTCCTAAGCTCATGTGCATTAGAGGAAAATGTGTCTTTCACCTGCTGTAAACTAATCACAGGGAACAACCTTCTCTTGGGTTTATTATTTTAATGGAGCTTCTTGTCAGTTTACAAAAGGCACAAAGCTCTCGTCCTTTCATCTTAACTGTGAATTAGGAAACTGGGACCTGTAAAGTTAATTAAATCCTCGGTGGAGTGTGAGACCTACTTCAGCTCTGCACCAGTGTTAATTTGGATTTGATTTAGCTTAATAAGTGTTTTTATTAAAATGTGTTTACACTGCTTAGTCTTAAGTTTTAGTCATTTAAATTCTTAGGACTTCTGAGAGGCTGCAGCTCTCATTGTTGATGTGTACAGTCACAATGGTTAAAGGTGCTGTTCCCATGTGTTAGCCCTGGTTTGTACCTCTTATGTAGAACCTTTACAGTCAAATCACAGCGCTCAGGAACCATAATATATCTAATCTTTAAAAAAAACCAAGAAGCTGCCTCCAGAATCTTCAAAGACTCCTCTACACATCTGGATGAAAAAAGGTTTCATATGGTGCACAACGAGGAACAAAACTGTCCTAAAGCTGAGACTGTATTATCTGTCCACGATAAGGCAGAGTCGCTCACTCACTGCCTTTTTAGTTTTAGTGTCTTTCATCTGCACCAAATATTTTTTTCTGCAGTCTGTGTGTTTGAGATATTTTAATTACCTACACACTCAGGGAATATTTATTGACACTTGTTGCAAAGGGGAGGTTTTCCTGATGTCTGCAGCCTGCTATGTTTTGTACACCAGTCATCAGACTATAGATATGTACCTACTGCTCACCTGACTTTACAAGAGCAGTAGTTGATGTGATGCGGCCTGGATTTGGAGTCAGGTTTGCTCCTTTCGTCTGTTCATCCTCACAGTTGGACATCACAGGACTCAGTTTGTTTCCCTCTCTTTGACTCAGGGGGTTCAGGCCCTGATGAGCAGTGCAGTGCAGCCTCTCCTGCAGTCAGTGAGCGACTCCATAGAGGCCATCATCATCACACTACACCAGGAAGACTTTTCAGGGTGAGTAACATGTAGCCCGTCTTCACTGCAGGATTCTTTACTTATTTAAAAGTACCAATACAACAATACTCCATCACCTGTGCACAATTTTAAATGTATGGAAGTTTTAACAGCAAAATGTTCTCAAAAGTATAAAAAGTAAAAGGACTCATGTAGCAGGACAACGCCCCCTGTGAGTGATGTATGATTCTAACCTTATTAGATTATTAGATAGTTCAGTCTGGTAGTCCCCCGCAGAGAGGGAAAAAAACAGCCTTAAATTGCAGTGGAGCAAGTAACTGACAACAGGCAAAGGACAAAAGTTCATTTTCAGGCAAGCAGCGCTTCCCTTTATCCACCAAGTGTTTGAGAGAACTCAGCTTAAAACTCAGTCATCTTCTTGCGTCTTCTCAAGTTTTAACTTGTTTAGACCTAAAACACTTGTTTAAATTAAACAAGAAATTAAAGGAAATTTTAAAGGGGAAATGTATCTTTGGTGGAACAAGTCACAGTCTGGGGCATGATGGGGCCAAGGGGACTAAACAAACCAAAAAGCCAAAAAAGAACCACTGATTTAATCTTTAAAAAATGTATTGTATTTTATACATTTTATGTGTTTTTCTATGTTAAGTCTTAATTTGAAAAGTAACAAGAAACTATTGCTGTCAGGTAAATGTAGTGGAGTAAAAATACATTGCGTACAATACTATACTGTAGAGAAGAAGAAGTCAAAGTGGGATAAATCATAAAAAGTACAATACATTTCAAAAATGCTGAAGCACAATACTCGAGCAGATACTTAGTTACTTTCAATCACTGATTCCTGGAAGTGTTGGTTCAAAAAGGATGTTTCTCTCTCACCCCTCTCACTGTACCCCTACCACCAATAATGGGTTTTTGAGGCTGATTTTATCTGGAGTTTAAAAAATGTCAATAATGATATTCTTATCAGCGTACATGTTAATGTAAACAAGCAATATTGATAGATTAGATTTGATAGATTTGAAAAATCATTTTCAGTGATCTGACAGAAAATGATGTAAATGACCTCATGTTGTTTGGGATCAGAACTCGGGCATCACATAAATAAAATGTTTCTCCAGTTTTTCATTCAAACAGAAAGTGAAATTAAAGAATAGTTGCAAACATCAGTTAGAACCTCATTACTGGCTTTCCTTATCTTTCTGATAGAAACAAACACACTGAATGTTCCTCAGAGAAAATGTAATAGTGTGTGTGTCACTGCCTTGGTGCAGTGTTTATACTAGCCTCTTTTATAAATGTGTGTGTCTGTGTGTGTGTGTGTGTGTGCGCGTGTGTGTTGCAGGCCTCTGTCCAGCCCTGATAAGCCTGACGTCCCCTGCTCACTCTACATGAAAGAGCTGCAGGGCTTCATCTCCAGAGTGATGAGCGACTATTTCAGACACATCCAGTGTGTGGACTTCATCTACGAGAGCACCGAGTCCATCGCTCAGAGAGCCATCGAGCTGTTCATCCGCCACGCCAGCCTGCTGCGCCCGCTGGGAGAGGGAGGCAAGATGAGACTGGCCGCTGACTTCGCTCAGGTGAGGACGGCCTGTTTTCAGCCTGTGTGAAGTCTGTCTCTCTGTAACCCCGACCGATGACGAATGACTGTTTGTGTGTTTTTTGTGTGTGCGTACGTCAAGATGGAGATGGCAGTTGGCCCCCTGTGCAGGAGAGTGTCTGATTTGGGGAGACCGTACAGGATGCTGCGCTCCTTCAGGTGTGTATGCTCATGAAGATCAACTCTGCTCTTTGATTTCACTTCAAGACAAAGATAGAGTGGTGTTCATCGATGTTTTTGTTGTGGTAGAAACAGGATTATGATGGTGACTGAAGAGTCAGTTTACCCATATGAAGCCACGTTCACATTATAGCTGAACAATCAGTGAAGGGTTGAAGAGGGGAATCGCTCGGAACTGACTGGCTGCCATTGTATAGGGGTGGAGTCAGTAATCCCAGATGGTAATTTGGGTGAACTGAGCCTTTAAGATTGGTGTTTAAAATGCTAATGCTAGAATTTAGGACAATACCGGAAGTTTTCCATGGTTTTTCCCAGTATCTACAAATCACATTCACTTGTTGAGCGGCTTCAAAACACTGTTTAGATTGATTTATTTGTGTTACATTGTTGTCACATGACGGTGGAGCTAGTAGCAGGAACTTAGTGGTGTGTTCAAGGAAGACTTTTATTTGAGATCTGCATTTTCATATCTTACCAGGAGCACAGTGATGGAAGTGATCATCAGTTCGATCCTTCTCTGCATTAACAGGATCACTGTTCAGCTGCCGACTTAAATCACAAGTTTGTCTTATGCTTTGATAATGATCATTGCTTGCAGCCTGATTAGCAAAGTGGTGGGTTCATTAAAAAAAAAAACTGAAGTAGTAGAGGTGGGTGTAAGGAATTCTCTGTCTCAAGAGATTTTTGATTTTTATAATATATAGAAATGGACTGAAAATCCAACATGAATTCTACATTATTAATGGGCTCAAACATGTAAAGACAGCAGTGTGCTTCTTTAAGCCTGACTGTGTTACAGTCCGCAGTGTGTTACGCTTCAGTCTGTGTTTGTGCTCGTGTTGCAGGCCACTGCTGTTTCAGACCAGCGAGCTGATAGCCAACAGTCCAGCTGTGGGTGACCTGATCCCCTACAGCACCCTGCTGCACTTCCTCTTCACCAGAGCCCCGTCTGAGCTCAAGTCACCTCACCAGGTCTGCACACACACACACACACACTGCACCACTCTCACTTTGTAAACTACATTGTACACACAGAGCCTAGCTAGATACAGACTTTCTACGTGATCCATGATTGTCAATGATTTGATTGTACATTCATTGAGTCAGTTCACTGTTTGTGTTTGGTCTGTAACAACTAAACAAGCTTTACCCTTCCACACAGAGAGCAGAGTGGTCCATCGCTCGTTACTCCCAGTGGCTGGATGATCATCCTTCAGAGAGAGACCGGCTCACCCTCATCAGGTGACCTTTCATTCTTTGTATTTGCCACAACACATCACAGGCCTAACACACAGCTGTAGTTTGTAGTTTATGGATTCGTTACTGAACAGGCCTACTGGGCTTCACCTGCAAACTGTTACTGAAAGAAACACAAACAGGCAAGAAACCAGCAAAAACCAGCATTCCAGCTTAACACGAGGAAGGTGCCTGACACAAAAGGCGGGAGATGATGAGTGCATAAGAAGGCGTGAAACCACCTGATGTTAAACAGGAACCATCGAGCAGCCACTGCTGCAGTGTATCACCGCTGAGTGACAGGTCATCATCCAGGAGCCCCACCACCATCACCATGTTGTCATGGTGATAGACAGGTCTCAGTGAGGAAGATCTTTCCCCCTAGAGGAACATGGACTCAGTCATGTCCAGGTTGATTGTTAGGTGGTCCCTTGATTTGTTTACAGGTAGTCAGAGGAAGCTGGAATTAAAAGAAACCTGCTCTTTGTGATATTGAGTTTCTGATCATATTATCACCTAGTCTAACTGTGTCCTTCCTCACTGTTGTCCTCTAAGGGGCGCTCTGGAGGCCTACGTGCAGTCAGTGAGGTCTCGGCAGGGGAAGGAGTTTGCCTCCATCTATCCCATCATGCTCCAGCTGTTACAGAGAGCCACAAGTGGGTCACAGGAGGCCAGAACCTGAAGGTGCCAGTACCTACACAATGCAGCTTTGTGTCTTAAGCGTCTTCTGTCTGACGACAGAAGATAGAGGGTATGTTAAGACAGAGAATGTTACTTCTGTGAACACTACATGAAGCCGCCTCTGGACACAATTATCTGACTGTAGCAGCTCTAATTCAGCTTAGACTTTTTACTCTTTTGATTCAGTTTAAGGGACTTTGTTTTGTGGGGATATTTAATTCTGACATTATTATTTGGGGTTTCTTTTAGTTGTATCGACTTTGAGTTACTAAGGCTGTATATCATAAAAATTGTGTTCATTATGAAGGATCCGACTAACTGTAGTTCCACAGTTGAAATCATTCAGCTCTAAAGTTTCATCTCAGTTACTCAGGTGGTACGATATCTGTAAAACTGAATGTGAACGGAGATAAGGGTGAGGTGATTTTTTTTTTTCCTCCACAAACAGCTGTAAAAATGTCAGTGTCTCATGTGAGTGTGTACATATACCAGTTGTATCAATCTGTGACCCATGACTGACCCTGGAGAATAAATGGGGAAATATTTGCAGGACTTTTATTTGTACATCACTTCATTAGAAGTTTAGATCTCACACACACACACACACACACAAAACAGTATGACAATATACACAGGTGTATTCAGATGGGCCACTTCCACTGGTTGGGAGGGGGCTCCTCTATCAGCGGCTCCCATGGTTTCCACTCAGACATCTTCCTGGACAGAGCCAGCTCACACTCCGCCTGCACACACACACACAACACAACGGTCAGTAACACCTACATACACTCTGGTTTCATTATCACAGGCCCAACAGCCACGTCAGGTGTCCTGCTTTAAAAGAATAGTTGGAGAACACTTTGCTGTTGAGAGTGAGACATGATTGATTTCAGCTAACAGAAACAGTCACTTTGTTAGAGTTCAAACATACACCTAAAGAGCTCACTGACAGGTATCATGTTCATTTCAACCATAAACAAACTAATGTTATTTAATGTGGACACTGAAGTATTTCTTCACAGCACTTTATGCAGTACATTTGTGCAGCGCCTGTACTGGTTGCCTGGCAACCTCACAACAATAAGACTCAGGACATCACCGCTCATGGCTGTTGTTCATCAAACAACGTCCCCCTATGAACACAACTCGTAAGTTTTATATTAGTGTTTAGAGCTCCAGCGTGTTCGTGAGTGTAACGGACTATATTATAAAATGACACCCACTCATTTTTGGGGTTATATCTCTTAAGCTTATGCGAGATGTTGGCAGAGTCCAGTTACAAGAATAAAGAGTCCAAAAATAAATGAGAACATAAGACTGGATCAGAAAATAAACTTCTTCAACACCACACACTCTCACTGTCAGCAGGTACTGGCACAGACTGACAGCACCAGAGGAAATGAAATGACCTACCTGGAAAATGACTTCTTCAATTTGTCCACTGTTTATTTTCTTCTCCAGCTTTTCAACATCAGGCTCCTGTGAAGACAGACATAAAAACGTTCTCATTTTCCATCCTCACAGTTTACACAGAACAAATCTTCACACAGCACAGCCTGGTACTGACCATTTTGACATGGTTGAAGCGCTCGTTGACCAGCTGCTCTGTGTACTTCCTGTAGGCGGCGTCCTGTGGCATAGTCTGCACTGTTGCCAGGATCTTTGAGTAGAGGATCCTCAGACGCTGAGAGGAAGAGCAGAGTGGGTTACTTGGTTAGAGGTGTGTTAACCACTGACAGCTGGAGCACTGTGATGATGCACATTATTTCCTGGTTTTAATAACCCTGTGTTAACCAAGGTCTGCACTGCACACAGCCAAACATGGATGGAGGGGAACTGAGTACAACGTCGGCTTCTCACCTCATGTGGATTGTGGGACACTGCCAGGCCGACCAGGCCGGTCGTCTGGAAAAGAGCAGCAGGAGAGACACTTGTTAAGTCTGAGTCACTTCAGCTCCTCCTCACCTTTTCGCTTCACCATCTTCAAACTTCCCTCTGTGCAACATTGAATGTGCTCAGACAAATATAAAAAAAAGGGGCTGTAGACTGGGTATAATAAAAAAAATCTTAATCTGAATAAGATAAAAAAGATTTAACCATTAATTAACTAAAAATGTTTCATTGTTAATTATTTCTATTATTGCTAAGTATTTCACATGGCATTCATAAATCTCTCTCTCTCTCAAAAGCTCATAGCCTAAATGGGACAACCATTAATCAACACCTTGTCCAATTAAATAATAATATTAACCCTTTAGAAATATCTGTGCCCAAGATACCTGCAGTTAGCGGCATTACATTGTGTTGTACCGCTATGAAAAAAAACCTACAATCCATTAATGTGAGATAGTTAGGTCCAAAAGTGTGAGATGACATTCCCATTCACTTGAATGAATGAGAAATTATTACAATACCCAGAATACAACACAATGTACCTACAGACACTTGTGATCTTATTAATAACCATACAGATTCACAGTAATACATTTATAAAACTGAACAAATAACAGCAGTAGAAGTTTGTGTCAGTGTCGGGCTGCCCTGTTCCTGCTGTGCACTGTTCAACATTACAAGCACCTAGGACAGAAAACGCCTCTTATCCTGCTTTTGTCCGTTTCAACTGTGTGCAGAAGACAGCAGTACTGTATTCTACTGTATAGTTACACTTTATTTTACAGGCCTGTTACTTTGTTTTAAGTTTATTGCTTAGAAGTTCGTCGTTTGGTGCCCGTTACTCCCTGAATGAATCGAGAAAACTAGTCCCCAGTTAACGTTTTGTTGTGTAACAGTTAATATTGATAGGAAATATTATATTAAACCCAATGTCAATGTTTATTCAAAATTAATTTACATTGTAAACTGATCCACTCGACATTCCCTGCTTTTCCCATCATTCCTAAAACATTATTAATTAACGGAGCCGTAGAATCAATTTTACCACAGTATGCTAAAAGGCTAATTTTCTCAGTAGGTAACACCGCTGCCTCCGCCAACAAGGTAGACAAACATAGTATGAATATGTAACGAAGTAAAGTGATGGCAGTTCGCTCCTCAGTGTTTCCGCTGAGCTTCTTTATCCAATAACCTCACCTAGCAGAATTGGACTTGTTACTTTGTTTTAAGTTTATTGCTTAGAAGTTCGTCGTTTGGTGCCCGTTACTCCCTGAATGAATCGAGAAAACTAGTCCCCAGTTAACGTTTTGTTGTGTAACAGTTAATATTGATAGGAAATATTATATTAAACCCAATGTCAATGTTTATTCAAAATTAATTTACATTGTAAACTGATCCACTCAACATTCCCTGCTTTTCCCATCATTCCTAAAACATTATTAATTAACGGAGCCGTAGAATCAATTTTACCACAGTATGCTAAAAGGCTAATTTTCTCAGTAGGTAACACCGCTGCCTCCGCCAACAAGGTAGACAAACATAGTATGAATATGTAACGAAGTAAAGTGATGGCAGTTCGCTCCTCAGTGTTTCCGCTGAGCTTCTTTATCCAATAACCTCACCTAGCAGAATTGGACTTGTCACTTTGCAGTGTCCTAGTTACACTTTATTTTACAGGCCTGTTACTTTGTTTTAAGTTTATTGCTTAGAAGTTCGTCGTTTGGTGCCCGTTACTCCCTGAATGAATCGAGAAAACTAGTCCCCAGTTAACGTTTTGTTGTGTAACAGTTAATATTGATAAGAAATATTCTACTAAACCCAGAGTCAATGTTTATTCAAAATTAATTTATATTGTAAACTGATCCACTCAACATTCCCTGCTTTTCCCATCATTCCTAAAACATTATTAATTAACGGAGCCGTAGAATCAATTTTAAGACAGTATACTAAAACGCTAATTTTCTCAGTAGGTAACACCGCTGCCTCCGCTAACAAGGTAGACAAACATAGTATGAATATGTAACGAAGTAAAGTGATGGCAGTTCGCTCTTCCATGTGTCCGCTGAGCTTCTTTATCCAGTAACCTCACCTAGCAGAATTAGCATAACAGCTAGCCAACATCGCGGAGTCTTGTTCACACTGCAGACTCTGTTTATGTAAGTCAGCCACGCTAATACACATTAACAATAATGTGGCATTAATGCAAACAATATTAACTGAGCTGATTCCAACGCTTCTTTCTGTCACTAAAATAAAGACATGACCTCTACTCGTACCTTTTTCAGCAGCCCAGCCATTCCTCCCTGCGGACACACTCCCGTTTGCAATTTCCGGCCACTAAATATGACGTCAGCGTTTTATTATTTTTGGGACGCGAACTTTGACCGTTTCCATGTCAACACAGATGTTAGCTACAGATTTCTCACAGAAGTTTTATTTTTGGAAAGATAAATATTATAATTAATAAATATTTTTTCCCAATCTGGTGTTATAATAAAATACTGTTGATGGGTCAGCTCTTCTTTTACTGAAATATTTCACCTGAGGAATTCACACCGTGGTTTTTGATGCGGTTCCTCCTTAAGTTCGTTTGTTAATGATACCTTTTCTCTTAAATGTTAATATGTATCGTTTTGGTTCCCACCCAAATCAGTTTATACATTTGCTCACTCCGATAAATGACTTATGTTCATGGCTGTTTATATGTACAATGTCCTTGTTCTGTTGAACTACTTTCAATAAAGTTGAAGCAATAAAAAAATTAAGGACGTGAGTCGCGTCTTGCATGCGCAGTCTTAAGCAGCTGCTGGAGTCGAGCCAGATTTAAAGATCTTCTTAACTGCACTGATCAGCCTATATGAGAAGATTGTCATGTATGGACAAGCTTCTCGTGGTCTGGAGGTTTTAGTGACAACAGACAACTTCAATAAGAAACATTTGAGGCATTTCTTTTTCCTTTTGTACTGCCAAACCACTTCATCACACTGTCTCCCCCTGCTGTTCTGTTAAAGGATGGAGTCAGACCACAACCTGAGTGTTAATCAGCTGTACTCATTTTAGTTTTACCTCCTGTTTTTAACATTTTCTTAATTTAATCCCACCCACATCTGGCTGGCCCTGAAACACAGCCGACAAACACACACAGCCTGAACAGTCTGCAGCCTGCTCATATACTGGATCTTTTGAAAATCAAAGGCTTAGGTTTGGTCTCAACATTGGTGGATGCAACAAACCTGCTACCCCTCCAAAACAAAGAGATTGGCTTTTTAATGCCATAGTATGTCATAGTATAGTAAATCCTAAAAACACCATAGTATAGTAAAGCATAAAAAGAGTCATTATATAGGAAGGCATTGTGGTGATGGTCTATTATTCAAACCAGTGGGTTGGTATTATGGGGCGTTTGGGTGTTTCGTGCTTTAGCCTTACGTTGTATGTGTGTGTATGTGCTGGTCTATCCTCTGCCTTCCCCTTTTTTCCTACAGGTGTTTCAGGACCACTGATCTCTATTCCTAATCAGAAGCCGGAATATAAAGGCGGAGTGAAGAGGCCTCGACAACGCCAGAGTTCTATCCAGCAGCCGTGGAGCTTTCTGTGTATGTTCATTTTGAAGATAGCTGCATAGAGCTAGAGTGACAGTAATCAGCATTTAGCATTTTAGCATTTAGTGCTGACTGTTCAATTTTGGTTTTTCTTGATGTAGTAGTTTTAAGTCCTAAAATGTCATAGTATAGTAAGGCATAAAAATGTAATAGTATAGTACGGCATAAAAAGTCATAAAAACGACATAGTATAATAAGGCATAAAAAGTCATAAAAACAACATAGTATAATAAGGCATAAAAAGTCATGAAAACAACATAGTATAGTAAGGCATAAAAAGTCACAGAAACGTCATAGTATGGTAAGGCATAAAAAGCCCTAGACGTAGTAAGGCATAAAAAAATAATAGTATAGTAAGGCATAAAATGTTATAAAAACGTCATATTATAATGCATAAAAATGACATAGTATAGTAAGGCATGAAAAGTCATAAATACAACATAGTATGGTGAGGCATCAAATGACAGTATAGAATGGCATAAAAAGGCACAAAAATGTCATAGTATAGTTTGGCTTGAAAATGCCAAAAAATGTCATAGTATAGTATGGCATAAAACGTCAAAAAAAACATCATAGTATATTAAGTCATAAAAGGTCATAAAAACATCATAGTATGGTGAGGCATCAAACAGCATAGTATATTAAGGCATAAAAAGTAAAAAAAAACTTCATGGTATATTAAGGCATAAAAGGTCATAAAAACATCATAGTATACTATGGCATGAAAATGCCAAAAAACGTCATAGTATACTATGGCATAATGAGTCAAAAAAAATCATAGTATAATGAGGCATAAAACGTCATAAAAACATCATAGTATGGTGAGGCATCAAACGACATAGTGTATTAAGGCATAAAAATGCCAAAAAACGTCATAGTATATATAGTATGGCATAAAACATCAAAAAAACATCATAGTATATTAAGGCATAAAAGGTCATAAAAACATCATAGTATGGTGAGGCATCAAACGACATAGTATATTAAGGCATAAAAATGCCAAAAAAAGTCATAGTATAGTATGGAATAAAAAGTCAAAAAAACATCATAGTATATTGTGGCATAACAGGTCACAAAAATGCCAGAGTATGGTGGTAAGGCATCAAACGACATAGTATAGTGAGGCATAAAAAGTAAAAAAACTTCATGGTATAGTATGGCATAAAAGGCCATAAAAACGTCATAGTATACTATGGCATAAAACGTCAAAAAAACGTCATAGTATATTAAGTCATAGAAGGTCATAAAAACATCATAGTATGGTGAGGCATCAAACGACAAAGTATAGTAAGGCATAAAAAGGCAGAAAAACGTCATAGTATATTAAGGCATAAAAGGTCATAAAAATGTTATAGTATAGTGAGGCATAAAAAGTCAATAAAACTTCATGGTATAGTATGGCATAAAAGGTCATAAAAACGTCATAGTATGGTGAGGCATCAAATGACATAGTATAGTGAGGCATAAAATGGCACAAAAACGTCATAGTATAGTTAGGCTTAAAAATGCCAAAAAATGTCATAGTATAGTATGGCATAAAACGTTAAAAAAACATCATAGTATATTAAGTCATAAAAGGTCATAAAAACGTCATAGTATGGTGAGGCATCAAATGACATAGTATATTAAGGCATAAAAGGTCATAAAAACACCATAGTATACTATTGCATAAAAATGCCAAAAAACGTCATAGTTGGCATAAAACGTCAAAAAAATATCATAAAAATGTCATACTATGATAAGGCATCAAACGACATAGTATAGTAAGGCATAAAAAGTAAAAAAAAAACTTCATGGTATAGTATGGCATAAAAGGCCATAAAAACGTCATAGTATGGTGAGGCATCAAACAACATAGTATATTAAGGCTTAAAAATGCCAAAAAACGTCATAGTATATATAGTATGGCATAAAACGTCAATAAAACATCATAGTATATTAAGGCATAAAAGGTCATAAAAACATCATAGTATAGTGAGGCATCAAACGACATAGTATTTTAAGGCATAAAAATGCCAAAAAAAAGTCATAGTATAGTATGGAATAAAAAGTAAAAAAAACATCATGTATATTGTGGCATAAAAGGTCATAAAAATGTCAGAGTATGGTGGTAAGGCATCAAACGACATAGTATAGAGAGGCATAAAATGGCACAAAAACGTCATAGTATAGTTTGGCTTAAAAATGCCAAAAATGTCATAGTATACTATGGCATAAAATGTCAAAAAAATGTCATAGTATATTAGGGCATAAAATATCATAAAAATGTCATACTAAGATAAGGCATCAAACGACATAGTATAGTAAGGCATAAATAGTAAAAAAAACTTCATGGTATAGTATGGCATAAAAGGCCATTAAAACGTCATAGTATACTATGGCATAAAACGTCAAAAAAACGTCATAGTATATTAAGTCATAAAAGGTCATAAAAACGTCATAGTATGGTGAGGCATCAAATGACATAGTATATTAAGGCATAAAAGGTCATAAAAACACCATAGTATACTATTGCATAAAAATGCCAAAAAACGTCATAGTATATATAGTATGGCATAAAACGTCAATAAAACATCATAGTATATTAAGGCATAAAAGGTCATAAAAACATCATAGTATAGTGAGGCATCAAACGACATAGTATTTTAAGGCATAAAAATGCCAAAAAAAAGTCATAGTATAGTATGGAATAAAAAGTAAAAAAAACATCATGTATATTGTGGCATAAAAGGTCATAAAAATGTCAGAGTATGGTGGTAAGGCATCAAACGACATAGTATAGAGAGGCATAAAATGGCACAAAAACGTCATAGTATAGTTTGGCTTAAAAATGCCAAAAATGTCATAGTATACTATGGCATAAAATGTCAAAAAAATGTCATAGTATATTAGGGCATAAAATATCATAAAAATGTCATACTAAGATAAGGCATCAAACGACATAGTATAGTAAGGCATAAATAGTAAAAAAAACTTCATGGTATAGTATGGCATAAAAGGCCATTAAAACGTCATAGTATACTATGGCATAAAACGTCAAAAAAACGTCATAGTATATTAAGTCATAGAAGGTCATAAAAACATCATAGTATGGTGAGGCATCAAACGACAAAGTATAGTAAGGCATAAAAAGGCAGAAAAACGTCATAGTATAGTATGGCATAAAACATCAAAAAAACATCATAGTATATTAAGGCATAAAAGGTCATAAAAACGTTATAGTATGGTGAGGCATAAAAAGTCAATAAAACTTCATGGTATAGTATAGCATAAAAGGTCATAAAAACGTCATAGTATGGTAAGGCATCAAATGACATAGTATAGTGAGGCATAAAATGGCACAAAAACGTCATAGTATAGTTAGGCTTAAAAATGCCAAAAAATGGCATAGTATAGTATGGCATAAAACGTTAAAAAAACATCATAGTATATTAAGTCATAAAAGGTCATAAAAACGTCATAGTATGGTGAGGCATCAAATGACATAGTATATTAAGGCATAAAAGGTCATAAAAACACCATAGTATACTATTGCATAAAAATGCCAAAAAACGTCATAGTATACTATGGCATAAAACGTCAAAAAAATGTCATGGTATATTAAGGCATAAAATATCATAAAAATGTCATACTATGATAAGGCATCAAACGACATAGTATAGTAAGGCATAAAAAGTAAAAAAAAA